TTGACAAAATATTAGTTTTTTGTAGTTTCCTGAACATTTGACAGACTTGGATTTAACTGTCTGATTTTATAGTATGCATATGTGACACGCCGAATACAAAAACTGAACTAAGGAGTCCACACACGACCAAATAGAGCCGGACACGTTTCCCTCTGAGTAATTGTTTCGGCTTTATTCAGTGAATCGATCTAAATTAAAGTTCTAAATTTATCTTCTGTAAGGACCTTTATTTAGGCCACTAAATCTTTGGAAAAATATATCAGGAACTTTATAAAGTTTTTAAAGCAAACTAAAACAGCATTGTTCTTAAAACAAAAATATTTACGAATCTTATATTTTTACTTATAAATGTTTTATATATATTCTTTATTGCACTAAAGCATACAGTAACAACTATATGTTAATAACAATGTTAGCAAAGGCGAACTTATCTCTAAAAGAGATTTCTTCCAGTCAACATAACACAGTGACATATATATTATATATATATATATATATATATATATATATATATGATGGCCTGTGACGAATAACAGAAGAATTAACCGCGATGGCTTCCAGGAGGAATTGCGTGGATAATATATTGCTAGCAATATATAGGTGTATGTAATAAAAAAATTTTATTACTCAAGTAAGTTATATTTAATTTTTCTTTTTTTTTTTATAAAAAATATTGTAACCTTAAGATTTTTAATACTATATATTTAAAATAGATAAATAAATCCTATGTTTACGAATACTTTTTACACACACTGTAGGTAGATTGTCTTAACGTAACCCTTTTTGGCCGCAGTTGGATAAAAATATTTTTACACAAAACCAACTTCAGTATTAAGTCAAAATCAGTACGGAACCATCCTGAAAACATCCACCTGTGTCTAGTAAAATTAATTAGTGGACAGTCATTGAACTAACTAGCATGTGACGCGACTCTCTCGACCTTGCACAGAGAACAAAAAAGAACCTAATTACAACCAACACATGGTATTATTTGTTTTAAATCACTGCAAATTATTATTTCCAAGTAAGTACTTAGCTAATTATTTCTTGCAGTTGCTTTTCTTAGACACATTAGCTTTATTTGCTCGCTGCATTTTACATTTGCCAAGGATAAACAATGTTAAAAATATTTAAAGAAATAAGTACTTATTGCTACATAAAACACACACACAGAGAGAGATGCATAGACGCACACATACATATACATACATATGCGTGCGTAAACACAAACACTACATATATTTTGTAGACCATTTTTTATGCAACTTAGCATATATGGGCGAAACAGTAGGTATACTCTGTTATGTCCATGGTACTGCTCATGTCTATAGGCGACGGTTACCACTTTCCATCAGGTGGGCCGTCAGCTTGTTTGCCATTCTAAGATGTATAAAAAATGTCCTTCTTTTTTAAATCAGCTGAAAAACATCGACTTCAATTGTACCAGTCAATATGATTTAAAAACTAGAGTACTGAACCGATTTTGATAATATTTTTATGGGATCAATCTGTAGGTATATCCTTTCAAATAAAGAGGGAATTTTCTAAATTGGTTTAAAACTAACGGAGTTATGAGGTAACAAAAATAAGAAAATATTAGTAAATTGCCTCGCAAATATTACCTCCTCATTTTTGGTCGATGGAAAATTAACACAAAAACAAGACGCATAAATGCATCCAGAAGAATTTCCGAAAAGTCCCATTGCTCGTCTACTAGGCACTAGTGCCCCATAAATGGAGAAACTATCTCAGCTTGGGTACGCTTCTCCAATAGACTCGATCCTTCACCATACCCAGATAGGCATTTTTGGCGACGATCAAGGGTCTATTGACGATATGATATGACCCTCTGCGCTTGCTCATTGCTTTTGTTATGGCATAGTAATGAGGAGGGAAGTATTGTTGGTAATGGGGTTAAACAGCCTCATCAAATCTACTACTACGCGGTTCCTCCTGAAAAACCATCGTTTTTCGAATGGCAAACAAGCTGAAGACGGCCCACCTGATTGAAAGTGGTAACCGCCGCCTACAGACATGAGCATTACCATGGACATAACAGAGTATACTGTTTCGCCCATGATACCCTCCACGCGTTGCCGTTCCTGAGGACTCAGGTGTTATTCCTCTGTACCCTGTAAATTCATAGTGCTCCGCCAGCATATAATGTAAGCGTAGACAGAATCACCATTCCATTATCATCCCACTAAACAAATTCTGGCTGTCACCACATAAATATTTATCATTTCATAAGTAAATTTATTAATATCGTCAAATATAAAAAAGCTAAATGAACTCCGCAGTACACACAGCACTCCAGATAAGTTGAAATCAAAGCTATGACGCCGTTGTAATCTCGAGTGGCTGTTGATAAGTGATGGTATTGGGCTGATTGTTATCGGTTTAGGTAGGTGATGTACTGGTGACATCCACCAAGCGAGAGCTTTCTGACTTTTTTTAAGGAATGATATTTTTTTTTATGGATCTCGATGGCGTGGTGACCACGCATGCGTTACTCTGACGGGGCACCAGTGAGTTATGAAAACGCAGGTTAGTTAGCCCATCGCGATGAATATACCTGGAATTCAACACGATGTTTTGTAGAGGGGACCACGTGGAGGTTGGTCTCATAAGGTGTATTGCTAGCAATGGAATTGGTGGTCAGCATTACTAACAAACCCTTCCTCCCCGGATAATAATGGTTTCAAAGATGTTTTTTTCCACGAACACTCAGGATATAGAATGAGCTCCCTGTCGAGGTTTTCCCAAGAGACTACAGCAAGAGGTTTCTTCAGGGTCGGCAACGCGCGCAAAATACCTCTGGTATTGCATGCGTTTATAGGCTACGGTAACTACTTACCATCTATTGGGCCGTATGCTAGTTTGCCACCTCAGGGATATTTTTTACAAAGACTTTTGTACAAAGACTCCCTCTGGCCGCATGCTCGCTTACGCCCTGTATTTGTTAGTTAGTAAGCCCAATGAAGGATGATAAGTGAAGATGAAAGCAGGTCAGTGGGCTCATCGCAAAAAATTATAGTAAATCAATTAATACGAATCAAGAATCAACCATGATGGTTTCCAGAGGATACAGCATGGAAGTCTACCTGATAGAGTATACTCGTCTTGCTAGCAACAGCAATGAAGCTGCTGGATTGCATTAGTTACAATCCTTTCGTTTTTTATCCCTTTGTATTTGAATCGTTTCAAAATAACAATTTTGAATTTAGTTAGTCAATACGAATTCTCTAGGGAGGAAAGGGATTGTAAGTAATGGAGAGTGAGAATTCCATTGCTAGTAATATACCCGACCAGATCGACCTCCTCGCGGTTCTCCCTGGAAACTATCATGGTTAATTCCTGATGAATTCATCATGATGGGCTAACTGGCCTGTTTTCATTCTCATCTATCACCCTTCACTGGTGCTCCGCCAACGTATACCGTTAGCGTAGGCGGGGTTACCATACCATTTTCACCCATCAAAAAAAAATACGAAACTCCTTTAGTTATAAACCGATTTGGAATATTCTTGTTCTATCTGAAAGGATTTACTTCCATACCGGCCCCATAAAAATTTTATCAATATCAGAGTTAAGTAGTTTAGTTTTTTCTTTGCAACATAGAACTGCAAACAAGTTGACGACCCACCTGATGAAAAGTGGTAACCGTCGCCTATAGACATGACCAGTACCATGGACATAACAGAGTATACTGTTTCGCCCATGATACCCCCCATGCGTTGCCATTCCTGAGGACTCAGGTGTTATTCCTCCGTACCCAGTAAATTCAAGCCATATTCCACGCTTCAAACCGAAACACAGCCATGCAAACACAACTGCTTCACGGTTGAAACACGAATGGGCCAGAGGTGCCCAAGCAAACGACTTTGAAAGTCTCTGGAAAATCCTTTTAGTTTTAAAATTATAATAACAATAATTGCTTTTTGCAAAACAAAATTTACTAATCAGGGACAAAAAGCTTCTGCTGAATTAATGGACTCAAACCGCATGACTTACAAAGACATTATATCATTTATAAAGCTGATCTCCAGAGGTCAATTTTTCCTGCTCCTGACCTTTACGTCAAGTTAACAAAGCGAATTTTTAAAATTATAAAATGGAGGAAAGAATATGTTTTTTGTTAATTAAAATCATTGTCTTGTACGTGACTTAATTACTCAACATTTCAACCTCAGGTTAAAGTTGGTTGGTTTTTTTTTATGGATGATAATGGAATGGCCACTAAGCTTAATAATGGAATGGAAACCCAGCCTTTGCTATTGCTATACGCTGTCGGGACACCAGTGAGATATGATATAATATATATTATAGTATATTTTTTTATGCAACTTAGAATGGCAAACAAGCTGACGGCCCACCTGATGGAAAGTGGTAACCGTCGCCTAGACACATGAGCAGTACCATGGACATAACAGAGTATGTTGTTTCGCCCATGATACCCCTCATGCGTTGCCATTTCTGAGGACTCAGGTGTTATTGCTCCATACCCAGTAAATTCACGCCATATCCCACCCTTCAAACAAAACACAGCCATGCAAACACAACTGCTTCACGGTTCAACCACGAATGGGACAGAGGTATCCAAGCAAACGACTTTTGTACAAAGTCTCCCTCTGGTAGTATATTTGCCATTGTTAGTAACAGGATCAAATTGTCCCATTGTCAGTCCCATTGCTAACAATAGAGTATATCAGGTCGACCTTCACGTGATCCCCCCTGGAAACCGTCATGGTTAATTCTAGTGGAATTCGTCACGATGAGCTAATTGGCCGGCTTTCATCCTCACCTGCCATCCCTCACTGGTGCCTATACCAGCGTATACCATTAGCGTAGGCGGGGTTACCATTCCAATATCATTTCATTTCATTTCCTATTTAAAAGCTGCGATTTCAATATCGTCTATAATTAATTAAAGATTATGTCCCGCAAACGACTAGTGGAAATTACCCTTGAAAATTTGAATAATAAAACATATCCCTTACCGGTCCTCCGTACACGTATCCCAGCTCCAAAGCGATCAGCTGCGCTACTTCATCACCACCATCCACTTCGACCGTCCATTCGTTGACGAAATGTTTCGCGTGCTCAACACCGTTATGCACTCCGTGATACCCATGATCCCCTGGTACCCAAGAGTCATATACCAAAGGATAGTACAATACATCCTCTGCAGAAGTCAGAATTGTTTTCAAAAATAGAATGAGATAAACGAACATGTTTGAAATTTAAAAAAAAGAATGTTCAGTACTTTTATTTTTATTGTTATTTTTTAATTTGGTCAAGCTACGGCGGTGTCTACGTAAATACTAACGGTCGCATTGAAAACAACAGAGAAAAAGCGTGAATTTTCCCGGCCGCCTGCCGTTCTAGGCTATACTCGACTGAGGACGGAAACGCGTAATGTCGTCGTACACGTTACGTGCCTTCGAAAATTATTATCTATAAAATAAGTATAATATTTTTACCATATTAAATGTAATGTATGTATTGCATTATTTTTATTATATATATTTAATATTATGATGTATTGTAGTAATAATTACATTTATTCCCCTTACGAATATATTTCAATCGTGAAAGTATTGCGTAATGTGCTCATAAAATAAAAATCGGTAAAAAAACTTTTAAGTTAAACGGTTTTATTTTATGTGCACTGAAAACTACAAAATAAATAAATAGTTACTTACCTATCAACCTACGTAGGTGATCTCGGTCATTAATATCTCTGATGGTAGTGGTTGTCATAACATGAACCATGTCAGCGGCCGAAAGGCAGTTCATGAGAGAACACTAACACCAGGGTTTGCTTGGTAGGTAAACTAAGCAGCTCACACTATAACAAGTAGGTATTTTGACCTTCTAGTTCAGAAATATTTTAGTACTAGGCAGAATAGCTTTTAGGCATATTAGATATTAAAATAAAAACGTGGGGCCCATTAACTATTTCTGTATTACTTTCTACTATACTAAGTGTGGATTGCATCGATTTATTATAATCGTCATCATCATCATCCTAGCGGTTTATCCTGGTCGCATCCGAAACCTCATAGCTCCGGAGTCCAGGGTCCGCTGAATCGACTTACTATAATCGTAACTGGAAGTTTTGACCATCAATAACCAGCCGTTACGGCTTCACCAGCGAACGCCGAACTCATGATCTACCAAAGTATAAGATATGCTCTGCTATAGGTATGATTTCAGAGGGGCCCCACGTTTTTATTTTAGTCTAATATGCCTAAAAGCTATTCTGCCTAGTACTAAAATATTTCTGAACTAGAAGGTCAAAATACCTACTTGTTATAGTGTGGGCTGCTTAGTTTACCTACCAAGCAAACCCTGGTGTTAGTGTTCTCTCATGAACTGCCTTTCGGCCGCTGACATGGTTCATGTTATGACAACCACTACCATCAGAGATATTAATGACCGAGATCACCTACGTAGGTTGATAGGTAAGTAACTATTTATTTATTTTGTAGTTTTCAGTGCACATAAAATAAAACCGTTTAACTTAAAAGTTTTTTTACCGATTTTTATTTTCTTGTTTTTAGTATTTAGTGAAATTGTTTACCGAATATTCCTCATTCTATTTAATTCATTCAGTGCATCATTATTACATGGTTTCTTACCTGATAATTTAGTACAATCTAATTCCTCAATACATAGCCCTTCCAGAGACTTGACTCGACTTAGAGCCACGTATGCTTGTCCTTCCTCAAACCATTTTGAGCCCAAATATACTACTGTATGGTCGACGGTGCTGCCCTGCATTTTATAGACGGTGAATGCTCATGACAAAACTAAGGGTAACATCCTTTTTTCAGCCGTACCATAATTGAATTTTGCTGGAAACTGTATGGCTTTAGGGTAAATAACGTGCATGCCGTCTGTGCCAAAGTCAATTAAAACTGATGATATATCTGTTTCGTACATTTGGGTTCGACGGAACTGAGGCCAAAAAATTTCTGTAATGTGGCCTATAGCGTCATTTACCAATCCTTTTGTAACGTCAATGTTGGACTGCAACATTACTTTTGCATCTACAAATATTTCAAGTACTGATGGTAAGCCTCCAGTCTTATTTATATTTGTTGGTATTTTTTGTTTATTGTTACCATGTTGTTCCCACGATTAAGGGGCATTTTGACGGTCGACCCCCCCCCCCCCGCAGTCCAGTAAAGGGGCAAGGCTTAATATACAACAAGATGCGCCCAATCTTGAGGGGGAAGCACTTACGACATTACATTTTTATCCACCCTAATGCCATACAGTCCTCGGCACGTTTTAACCTATTACCTTAACTTGGGTGGTATAACTACCGCTTACTAACGAGGTATCTAATTACCTATTTTTTTTTATCTGCCCCTCTAACGTCACACAATCTTAGACGCAACTGTTCTCGATACGACGAATCATGCCCCCACCTAATACGCCATTTTGTAACAGCGTCCATCTTGAATTTGAAATTTTGACATAATGACAGTATTCTGCAGTGTAGTCCTATTATTTGATACCCATATTGTGGTGGTTGTGGAAAAATATGTACCTAGTCCGCCATATTGGAACGGCGTCCATCTTGAATTTTAAATTTTGACATAATCATCGTGTTTTACTAGTGTAGCCCTTTCATTTGATACCCATATTGCGGGGGTTGAGGAAAAATATGTAATCCGCCATTTTGTATCGGCGGCCATCTTAGATTTATAATGTTATTGATTTTATTATATTGTATTGTCATCTAAATTAAATGTGTGTACCAAATTTCAGATCAATCTGACAACGGGAAGGTGCTTAAATTCCAATTTCTAATTTTGACCCAAATAAATAAATACCCTACAGGTTGAGCTAAATAAAACCGTTTAAATACAGACAAATTGAAAGCTATCTCCTATTTAAAGTCACTTAAAAATATAACAATTTTTTTTAACATATAGTTAGTTTAGTGAAAGTATTTTTTTTATAATATTCTGAATGGCAAACAAGCTGATGGATAATAAAGTGATTGTTTATTACTGAGGTTATATGCACTCACTTTGAAGAGGAGAAATTTATCAACTGGACTGTATTAAAATATGGGTTACCTATTTTATTATATTGATACTTCTTTTCGATATCGATAGTGTACTGACTCCTATATTAGTTCCAATCCTTTTCACAGCCAACGACGTTCTTTTTTGCGACGCGATATTTTAAATTACCATAATAATGTAATTTAGTATAATTTACTTATAGACAACTTTTTTACATAGTAACATCTGTTAGAAAAAAGTTTATTAAATTCTAATTGTCGAATTATTTATAAAATTAAAAATCTTCAATTTAATAAATACAATTTAGTACTTACTGGCTTTTACAGGCGACTTCGTCGTGTGCCCGGGATATTTATAAACCGAGATAAAGAATTGCCTATAACTTTCTCTATCCCATACAATACGTGTATATCAAATTATATAGTAATTGATTAAAGCGTTAAAGGGTAACACACAAACTTACTTGCACATTTATAATACACAATCATTATTTAAACAAATCGGTTATAACCCAAAAATGTTGACGCCGCTACCCATGGGAGCATTTGCGCGAGTAAGCTAAGAGACAGGACAAGGAATACATTACATTACATTTGTAGACACATACAATTTTAGACACAATCTATTTGTATAGTATTTGTTTATATAAACAGGGTGAATGCGAAATCGTTAGCAGTATCTAAAACTAATTTCTTTTTTACAACACGGAGCAAACGAGCATGCGGCTCACCTGATGGTAAGTGACTACCGCCGCCCATAATCACCCGCAACACCAAAGGCATTGCAGGTGTGCAGCCGGCCTTTTAAAAAGGAATATGAAAGAAAGAAAGAAAGAAAAAAACTTTATTTTACAAGAAATATGCGACGGCACCCACACAGGGGTTAAAAAAAAATCCATATATTAAGAATTATAATAAAGAAACAACACAAAAAAATATTTATAAAAAAAAATATATATATATAAAATTATAAAAGAAAAATAAAACGATTCGTATTATAACAATTTCATCAAAAATGAGTGTGTGTGTGCGTCCGTCGCAATACCTGCAAAATGAGGCGCGTGCTCAGCATTATGCTGTAGTGTCAGGGACACTACAGCGCTGATTTTCAGCACGCGCCTCGCCAACCCGCGGAGTCCTAATAATAACAATAATGTTTGAAAACTTGACCAACACAGTGGTGTGCTTAAAGTGTATTGTGTAAAAAATAAAAATAAAATAAATATAATAAATTTGTAGTGGGTATATATTGAATGATAAATTGTGACGTTGTCAATGTTGAATAATAATAATCACACGAAAAACATAAAATACGTATAGAATAAGTATTTTCCTTTTACGTAGTAATACTACAGACGCTAAAGAAACTAAATATCGAATATAGTTGAATCATCCCCACATTCAATCGAGGAATATGCTCTTTTCTTAAAGGTTACGATGTCGTACCTGTTCGGAAATACTGCTGTTGGAAGTTGTTGTGGAAGAGTGGTTGTGCGTGGAAGAAAGTGCCTTGAAAAACGCACGGTGGAGGACCGCCACTCATCCAGATGGTTGGGATGAAACTTTAGTTTGTGGTGGATTGTGCGGTGGTGAAAATAACAGCAGGTATCAATGAGAACAATTCTTAATATGCCAGGTTGTCTGTAAGAGATCGCTTTTAGCGATAAGGCCTTCTGTATATGCACATTCTGTATAAATACTCCTTGTATACATCTCTACTGTGCGCAATAAAGAGTTTTTTTTAAGGTTTGCGGTACAATATTTAAGGCATCCCGTCCTCGCTATTGAATACGGGTGACGGAATGCCTATACGAGAGGGTACATGGTGGACGCAATTTAGACGTAATATTTGAGGAGCACTACCGGCCGGATACTGCAACAAAAAAAGAGTATGTGGTCGACCAATAAAGAGTTTATTATTATTATTAATAATTAAAATAAAACCCATGCTCTGAAACATCATCTCAGCTATTAACTGTCCTCTGATGAACAGGTAAAGGCTGATATCAAAAAAATAATGCCATGTAGCAGGGAATGCAGATAATTTGGTATCACCTTATATAAATAATAATTAATTGTCGAGCGTTACATACGTTTAGTGCGTCACTGCAGTATGTCTAATCCTTTTTAGGGTACAACTAAAAGGGTAGCACTAAAAGGTACGAAATAACTCTTCAACATCATCATCAGATCATATTAGCCGTTAACTGTCCACTGCTGGGCTTCCTATAGGCTTTCTTCCATAAGGACGGTTTTGGTAGTAGTTGCCACGCTTGACAGGTGAGTTGGCATCCGC